CCATCGGGCGAACCCGTGTAGAGCTCCTCGAGATGATCAACCCAAGATAGTCTCAAAGGTTTATCGGTGAAACGCCACACCGTGAACTTCTTATCATCTGGAAAAATCCAGACATAGAATTATCACGCCGCTCTCTGCCGGGAACTTCTCCAATTTTTTCCTCCGTTTGGGCTCCATTGCGGCGAAGAGCTCCCCATAAGAGCTAAGTCCGAGAACTACGAGAAGTGCGGAGTACTCACCTTCATTTCCCATTGGAATATGTAACGAGCGTGGAGACTGAAAAACCACAGGATTTCCGATCGAACCAACCCAGGCTGGACGATTCGACTGCGGGGCACCAAAACACATCGTCGTCGACTCGTCCGCTTCTCATCTCGAAAATAGTGAAATCTTACACCGCTGGGCCCGCGCACAGCCAAAGTTTGAATTCGATTTCGTGCGGATTCCAGCTTCCGGCGATAAATTATTGTCGATACACCGAAAATCGCCTGGCGGCTGTCCCTGACATTGTTAGAGAAATAAGTTCCGCGAGCCAGATTCCATACTCGACGCCGGAGGGATCAAAAGGTGCTCGCTCTGAGCTCCATAGAGAGATCGAGGTATGGGGGCGGAGGAAATATGGACGGTGTCCTTCCCGGCTACCCCGCCATTGTCGCATTCAATTCTAGAAGGGGCTTGCAATCAAAAGAATCTGGACTTTTTCCGCAAAAGGAGCTGCGATTATTCTGCGTGTTGCCCAGTAGCCGATGAGTCGAAGAGAGGACTGAAGATTCTCGGTGCCCGGATGTTTCCCGACGACTTCCGTCGTAGTCCGAAGGATTCTCCTCGGACTAACACAAAGATCTGCCGAATCCGTAGCTTCAGTGCTTTGCGTGGAGAGCACCGATAAGCTGATTCTTTATTTGCTGTTGAGCGATTTCGCGGAGATTCATTGTACAGAGGAACACATCGAAAGTCACCCACCCCGGAATTGATGCCTTCGATCACCGACGGTGGATGATCGAGATATCGAATGACAGTCGATCTCCCACGAGGTCTATGGAACAATACGACGCCACTCTGGAAGCCTGTGCCCATTCCTAGAGCCGAATCGGGAATGAGGCTCGGAATCTGAGACTTCATCGAGCTCTTGGCGGGCTGCGAGAAGTCTGACGGTCATTGTTATCGACAAGTTGTCGATCCGGAGCATGGTGTATCCTGGTTCCCAGGGAAGGCTAGTTGAAGATGCCTCTCGATAGAGGACTCTCCCTCGAAAATGTACCACATATCTATCCTGGGAAAATAAGTATCGAATGGCATCGCTCTGACTTATACGAGCGTATCTTATGATCGCGCGAATAGCCGGTTGTCCGTTATATCCGAGCAGAGTAACATGGGAGGTATAGCGCCCCGGGGTCGTGACATCAGTCCGTTTCAAACGGGAGTCCGCTATATCCGGGTCCGTCATGACGAGGTTCGACTGTGCATATCTGTCCTGCTAATGGAAGTTCTGCCTGTGACACTTTTAGGAGCTACCTTTGTGGCACCACGGAGTTGCCATCCCTTGCGCTTCCAGGAACCGACGATTTGGACACTCTGAGTCTGATGCCGCTTAACGGCGTCGGCAGACTCATCTCGCCAACGCAAGTCAGCGGGGATGGAGCCAGGAGCGTGAATTCGCTCAGTATCATTGGTCCCTCCCTACCTTATGAAGGCTTGCACGATACGTATCCCACATTTCAATCTGAATCTTAACGACAGCCCCCTGACGGCAGAGGAGCTCGGAAAGGAGAAATCGAGCTGCTCCCTCTTGCGCGTCGGTCACGACACCATCAAGGCATACAAATTAGGCGGTCGTGGATTCCTTTGAAGCAATCGACGATATCTCGGACCCTCTAGGTATCAGAGCTCCTCAAATACGGAGATTTATTGAAAGGGCCATTTTGGCATCGGAAGACATTTAGAAAAGGTATGGGGGAACTGCTCAGAGATCCCTGCGTTGACCCCGCCGCACCGTGGTGTCGCCTGACTATCCTTGAGGGAAGTAGTGATACCTGATATGGGGTGATGATACCTCCGGGTCTCTCCTATCTTGCCGACAAAAGGAAGCCCCGAGGAAATAACGGTTCCCCCAGAGGTCTGAATGCACAAGCCTCATGCTTCATTATCCATGAGAAAATGTCTCAAAGCGAGATTGGCGGAGACAATGAAGTTCCTGAAGTTCACCGAGTTACATGAGTTCTCTATCTCATCTAGGAAGTTTGAGAAATCGAAGGGTATCTCTAATTCCCGCAGCAACGACTGTTTCTCCCGGATGAAACCCGTGAATGACTCGTTGGGGAATCTTTTCCGGTTGTAGTATTCAGACGGAGATTTCTTTTTCCCTTTCGGGAATTGTCCGTAGAATGCCTCCTTGAACTTTTTCCAGTTCTCGTATGGACCGGTGTGTACGAACCAAGCCTTGGTGTCGTCGTCCATGGTCCGATAGGCGAGGCGTATGACTTTCTGTTCCGTCCATTGATTGACTGCGGCATCCATCTCTAGACGCCTCAACCATTTCTTCGGGTTTTCTGGGTTTAACTGCGGTAGATCGCTGACAGAGATGATTTGCTCCATGAGCGTCGCGAGAGTGTCGACGACTTCTGGGCATGCCACTTTATCCCACCGCTGCCACCAAAATGTAGCACGCCGACAACGAAGGGTGGGAATAATGCGTTACTTTATTAGAAGGTTATCCTTTTTATACCCTGTGGCGCTGCCATCGGCAGTGCACCAATACCTACCCTATAAGTATCGTATATATTCTCCTATATATATATACGTATACCAATCATCATTCGAATATCGGGACAGCGATGGCCGAGTCAGAGGACGATCCAGAGATCATTGAGCCGCATCATGGCTAAACAGAGTGCATGAGATGTACTATGCGTTATCTATGTCAAGTTTGAACGAGCGCTCCCACCGTTAGCCAGCTCTCGTCGCCTGGGCCTTTCTACCTGTTGGCGCTCCGACCTTGCGAGCTCCCGCAGGCAACGAGGAATTCTGGAAGACAAGAAAGGTTCATTCCTTCCGAAAGCACCCTGAGTGTGATACAGTAGACTCAATAACCTCCAAGACCCTCCGCTTGGGACCATGGAGATATCCACTTCGGAGAGCGTCGGAGTCCCGTACATAGGAAGCGATGGGAACATCACGAATGACTCACCTCAAACAGGACGCAACGCGGAGAGCACGTAGGAAAAGGCGAAACTCAGGACCGTCGCTAAACTCACGAAAGACACCATTGCTAAAAGAGTCGGTACTCCCAATCGGAAGGCGAACTCGTTATCTACCGCCGGAGCGAACCTCGGGCCCGTGTCTTCGAGCTCGATTCCGACGGCCTCATCGCAAGATGTCCCCACAGTGAGCTTCGTAGCGATATTGGGTCTCCCGACAAGTGATTCGGCTGAGCTTTCACTCATGATGCTTGCCGCGTCGCTGGTTCGCAGTCAGGTAACGTTCTTTTGAAGATCCGGACGCCTTTTGTCATTCCGGTACGGACCCTCGTCCAGGCGAGGATCGACTTTTTCGCATCTGATCTTGTCCCCCTCCCACGATTCCTGCTGGATCACTGCGGAATCCGGAGCCAGCGCTCGATCACAAGAACGGGTTCAACCCGGAATGGTGCCATAGAGGACTATAACGAGCCCTCCGGACTGTCCGCAAGACGCCTAGGAAGTGAAAGAGGACTATGATAGCGCTCCAGTCTCTCAAATTCTCTGAGTTGAAACGCATACACCATGCCGTTATTTCCGGAATATCCACGCAGATTTTCGCAGAGCCTCTGGGAAAATATCCCCCATCCAGGATTCCGGATTATCCCCCTGACTCCCTGTCTTTACACTTCCCCCTCAGAATTGCGTGATTCGAATCCAATCCCGAAAGATGGTCGCTGGATTATCCAGTCTGCAGGGTCTTTCTCATCGCGAACCTCATCCAACCTTGAGGCTCTGTGCTTCCCCAGGGATGCATGTGGGCTGAGCGCTACCCTATCTGGGGGCATCGAAACGATTTCGATCCCTTCGCCGACACGGGATGCTCGGATTCCACGTAGTATTCGCCAATCGAAAATAAGTGAAAGAGGCGTTGTCAAGCATGCACATATGTAAATAGATCGATTACGTCACGGTGAACTCATCGTGATGATTGACCGCGTCCTTCCAATGCATGACGTGGTTCCCTTCAGCTCACCATGCGTCCATCGGAATAAGTAAATACGGCGGTCACATCGCATAAGCGAACCTGACCGTTGCCTGAGAACATCCATTATTGACGTGATGCTGACGTCCCGTCGCTTCGGAACAGCGGCCAAAGTTGGTCACGGTGCGGAAACCGCTTCCTTCTAACCTCACCATCATTGATCGATCCGATCTGTATAATCATGCGGGAGCAATATCCCGAGAAATCTCGGACAATTCGGGAGTCCGCCCCAAATGAATTTTCCGAATAGGGCTTTGCTCGATGGACTGATCGAGATACTGCTGATCGGCAAAAGCTCTTTTCCCTCCCTGTTCTTCAGAAGGAATGCTCGTTCTTCAATCGTCGGAGAGTCAGACGCTCCTCCTGAGCGCTGGTCTAGATCGAACCGAAGCGGCATCAGTCCTTCGAGTGAGCTCTCCGGTCAAATATTCAAGAACATCATTGACGAATCCTCGGTTTTGTGGAAGGTTGGCCGAAAGCAGGGCCTCGCTGCGGATTATCTCTGGGGCCGATTAGATGGATCGCAGAGTATTGGAGGAGGTACCTCAGGCCGCCGGCGAAGCCGAAAACGACCTCAGAGCCATCGGGTTCCCAAGGACTCGAGAAGTGATGTCTTGCGATAAGCGCTGTACGTTTTGGAATTGCACTCGTGCTCGTCGACGGTCTCGAAGCGATCACAGCATGTTTTCATCAGTCCGAGCAATCGAACGATGACGTCAGCCGGTCGGGCCAATGACCAGTGTTTGTTTTGAGCGGAAACTTACGAAGAAGGTCAAAAGATGGATACTTTGCCGAATGAGGTTTGTGTGATCTCGTCTCGTTGGTCGCCAACGTAGGAGCCGTCACGGAACGATGTTTCGACGAAGTGAATACTTGGATGATTTTTTTCCGAGCTTTCCGGAAGAGGTCTTGTCTTCCGCGCCCTTCCTGAACTCTCTGGATTCGAGTCCATCTTGTCCAAACTAGTGTTGCCTTCTAGATGCTCGCGAAATTGCTGCTCTGCCTGAATCCGGTAGATCGCCTCAAATGTGCTCTGACCTGTCGAAGATGGGCCCGGGCTGTGACCGCCCCTCAATTACTGCACGATGTCAAGCTAGTTCTCAGAGGACCATATATTGAAGCAGCCCAACCGGTCCTGATGATGAATCACCGAAAGTATAGGAATTTGAAAATTGTGGAAGGTGGGAGAAATGCATGATCGACTCAAGATCAGTGGGCGAAACTTAGGTCTCCGTTCGCTGAATTCGGCCGTTATTCAGGTTTTCTGGACGCTCTCGATACCGAGTTCTGGTCAAGGATCGGGAGAAACCTCAGGGATCTGCGTTTGATTAGATGCGAGTGGTCGATCGAGGATTTCTTCTCGATTTTCCAACGATGCAAAAAAGTGGAGTTCCTCAAAGTCTCAGGTGAGCTAAGTTTCGCCGCAGTGATGTCGACTTTCCAGACGGGTAGCGAGGATTGAGGAACGGAACTGGGATTGAATTCACGGCCGATAGAGCCTTTGTTCACAGAATTTCCTCCGTCTCATCCGGTTTCGAATGTCGAGAGATGGAACGCCAGGAAAAAACTCATGAAGTTTCGATTCCTCCGCAGCGCAATATTCGAATCTGGCCCCGGACTCGCTCGAGATACCCACGCACATGAGTTCTGCATTGATTCGCAAGTCAATGTGCAATGTTCGACATCTCCGACTCAAATGTCTGCCGGGGAATCCGCTGCTCGAAGGAAATTTCTCCCGACTGCTCGCTTTGATGCCCCAGATAGCATCTATATCGATATACTTCTCGTTTCAAGATGACCTTGCTTTCTCGAATACCCTCCATAATTTGTTGCAATCGAACGTGAAGCCGACGGAGCTCGACCTTTCATTCGCGTCCCTGGAAGACGAAGACATCATCAAGATTGTGAGAAAGTACTCGGGGGTTCTTCAACGTCTCCGATTGAGCGATTGTCCCGAGCTCTCTCACGAGGCTTTCGTCGCCCTCGGTACTTGCTCGAAGTTGCGGCGCTTGGAACTCTTGGGCGCGATCTTGGAAGACGACGATGTGAAAGAGCTCCTCCGCCACGCTTCGGAACTCGAACATTTGGATATTTCGGCTTACAAGAGATTGACGAGACCGTCCTTGACCCATATCAAGAATCTCACAAAGCTCCGGCACGTAGGACTTCTCCACTGCATTGATTTGGACAGTGAATTCCTCCGCGATTTATGTACGGTTTCGGCTCTCCGACGCCTCGACCTGACGTACTCCGACGACGCGCTCGCAGTTCTCCAGAGTCTGTCGCCTGTCAGGAACCTTCAGAGCCTCAGTCTGGCATGCAACCATGTCGATTCTGAGAGCATCGACATAATCATTGAATGTTTCAAGCAACTGACGTACCTCGAGCTCGACTGTTGTCGCCGACTAACCGATGCTGATGGAATCAAGTTTCGTCGCTTGGAGAACCTCACCACCCTGAAGCTGTGGGACGCTTATCTTCTGACCGATGTCACCTTCGAAAATGGCGTCGGTTCGGAGTATATGGAGGAACTCGCCCTGGGAGGCTGCTCTCTGACAGCCGCGGGACTCGCGAGCATAGCGGCTCATCATGATCGTCTCAAGAAGTTCGTACTGCACCAGTGCCATACCGCCACAGACGCTGGTCTGACGTATCTCTTTCGGTCTGAAGCTTACCTCCAGAAAATCGATTTCATCTCATGCGATCTCATATCAGATGCGCTTCTCGAGTCTCTGGCAACACTTTGCCCCCATCTCAATACCATAGGACTCGAAAACTGTAATGTGAGCGAACTCGCTCTACAAACATTCTCGGATCTGAGACCAGCTGTCGAAGTTTTTTGAAACAGGATGGGCGGATAGTCAAGATAAGGCTTCCATGCCGCAAGGAAGGTTTGAACCACTCTATACGAATTTTGTGCTGAAACCGCTGGCCCTCCGATCGGTTGAAGACGAAGACTGCTTTCCACGGGGAATTGTTTGTGGGAGCACTTGGATTCTCTCAGAGAGCTCGGAGATTGAATGCTACTCAACTGGTGTTATTATGATTAGATTATCAACCGTTTTTTCTTAAGGAATAAGATGATTGAATAGGTTCGCAATACTTTTATGGCGGGAAGTACGAAAGCATTACTCCCTCCCGGAAATGACATAAAGCTCTAGCTCTTGCCCGCTGAGCCTGATGGATAGCCATATGAAGGTGTAACAGGAGTACAATTCCAAATTCCTACATATGAGAAGAATAAAGGAGCGGGTCAGCATCGCATGCTGACCGGGAGCATGAGAGCTTCCATCGCTTCATCTCTCTGCAGCGGCCAAGAGTAGATCCTTAATTAGGCGGAGGGGACCGTCAGCTTTTCTGCGGTGCTACATGGGTCCGCCACCCCCGGTCTCTCGGCTCGAGTACGCAGATGATTTTCCAGGGGCGGGCTTCCATCAATTTATGGGAATCAGGCTGTGCAGAGAGTGTATATTCCAAATCTAGGCGCACGGCAGTGAGCCTCGTAATTATTTGTCGATCCGCGGTGAATGCGTGAGGACGCCTTTAACCCATTCCCACAGAGGTTCCTGAGACATGGAGGGAATTTCTTTCTATCCCTCCCGCTGCAGTTTACGACCCTCTATTCTGTCCGCCGATCCCGATTGCCCGAGATTCTTCACCGCGCGGCCAAACTCGGATCGATTGGACTCGTGATCCTCGACAGGAGATGAGAGGGCTCCGTCCGCCAAGCTTTGATAGTCGCCTCCGAAGTTGCAACTTGTTCTATCTGCTCAACCAGCTTCTGCGCGCTGCGGGAGAGGCTAAGAGTCATATCTGAAGGCTCATCCTCGACTCTCGTAGCCGTATCATGAACTCCGGGTCTGGAGCAAACATTCTCGAGACATTGCCTCCTCAGCGGTCGAATTTCGTCATCACCCTACCTGCGAATCCCGGACAAGGGCCTCTTTCGGATGCGCACGATCAGGTTAGGCTGTTTTCGTTCCGGGAGAGCTCGACGCTCATGGTACGAAACGGGTCGCAAAACTAGACAGCAGTCTGACCAAGTGTGGAACCTCAAGGCTCCTGGTCGACTTAACGGCTTCCTTCCCGGGACCAGATTTCCAGCCCGCACATCCTGCCGGCTTCCCTCCATCTGAGGTCGACCTCTTGCATAACCAAGGTGGCTTGGTCGATGATTGGTGCGCGATCGGTGAAAGGATACGCCTGCCGTCAGGCCCGCTTAGAAGGGGGGATACAGCACTTCTTTCTCTGAGCCCCAGAAGAAGTTCTCTAGCGAGGAGTTCTCCAAAGCGTGTGATCAGATAGAAAGGCGACTCACATGTTAGCTCTGTCGGGCCGCGCGACGAGCAAGCGGATTTCGGTGGCTCTCGTTTGATTTTTCGCTCGGCGATCCTGTGACAGCGGAAGCGAGAAGCTCTAGCTGCTTTGTCCATGTCGTTCGGAGCTCCCACACATGGAAACGTAGATTCATGATGAACCCAGAGTCAGGGAATGGCATTGTTCCCAAGCATCCGGCGCCGGGAATTCAGGATCGAGAGTATGAGTCGATGGGATCCCAGAACACCAGGAAGAACCAACTCCTTCACACAGATATACCGCGCAGTGCAAGGATATCCGGAACGTGCCCAGCCTCTCGCGAGTAGAGATTCTTTCGTGGCGGTCTTGTACTTTGGGTACTTCATAATAATCTTATTGATCGCTCCAGCTTTCCTGCTCTTGGGAAGCTATCGGGGGAGAACGAGCTTATTACGCGCTGTCGAGCTTGGCATCGAAGTTGCGAGGAGCCTGTTCCTTGAATATAGCCTGACCTACAGCTTCTTTAAGGAAACACTAGAAATCAGCGCATGTAAGAGCCGGAGCGAGACGTGTCGAGCTGTGGATGAATCTACCGCGATTCCATACTACTTCACGACCTTCCGACATGATACGAAAACCTTCGAATTCAAGGTGAGCAGACACGTATCCGAACCAAAGATTCCTCTGAAAACTCTGTATGTCATCCAGTCCTGAGAGCTTGGGAAGAGGGCTCATTGTCGATGGACTCCTGATGTCTTCGTCCGGTTGTTGGAAAGGAAATGATACCGTGTCTCACGGGGGCCTCAGTCTTGCCTCGAAGCAGGCTGCCTCGAAAGCGTGCACGAATCATGGAAAGAGCGAAGGACAGGTCCCTTTCTACTGCTGCTGCTTGAGTCATATGGGTCACGGTGATTTCCAATGGTCCACGGGGGTGAGCAGACATCCCTAGTGGATGGCACCTCTCTTCTCTTCGATGAGAGAACGACCCGAATAAAAAGTTGTAGCTCGGTGGAGCTCCTGTGTTTCCAATTTTACCTTGATTCGCTACCTCGGATTGCTCCCATGCCCTGGAACACTCTCATCGCAACTCCTGGAAATTCCTGTAAAATCCGGTAGAATCCATGAACCAGACATCCTGGATCCTATATGTGTGCGATCGTCGAGCGGCCCGGGAGCTGGAACGTTGGTTTTTCTGCTGAAAACGGAAGAATCGCCCCGCCCTCCATTTTGCAAGGAGGCAGGGTCCCGAGTAGATGATGGACGAACAAGCGGATGGATTCCTCACTCGGGGATATACGTACACAAGTCGATATGTTGATTGCTCTTTGGGAGGAGAATCGGAGATCGCCGGCCCGACTCTATTTCCTCTAAAGGGGACCATTCGTTATCGAATTATAGGGTGTCGAGGCCATCTATCAATCTACTTCGATGAGTATGTCCTGAAAGGTCAAGGAAACCGTCCGATTTCAGCCAGTGCCGTATCCGCAGAGCACGAGAAGGGATCCGTCTCTCCTCGAAGCTCGTCCCTCTACGAGGAAACGCCTCTCGCGAGCGTTTATTCCGGCAAAAGAGGTTTCCTATCATGAAGTCCATTCCGAACCGTCACTTGTCAGAAACAATGCTATATCTCGGGATTGCGTCTCATCCGGCGATAGTGGATAAAATACTAGATCGTCGTACGAGTACGAAATCCGCGGAGCTTTCATAGGCAGGAGTGTTTCATATCCCGAGGCTCCTCGTATTTCGGGTGAACGCAAAGTTCTGAGCTTATAACATCAGGAAATTCAATGAAGCTCCTCCATGACGGAAACTTCCGATTACGCCTGATGACATCAGCCCGGAGAAGGTCCAAGTCGGAGAAGATCTGCGTGGACTCGCTCCAGTGGGTCGTCAGCGAAGGAGGCATCCGAAGAGATTGCAATCCGGATTCGGGAACGTTCGCCATCTTAACAGTTATCGTTCCTATCACGAAGCGGATGATGGCTCTCCTCAGATGACTCGGCGCAGCTCTCTGAAACTAGGGAGCGAGCAATGACTTGTCGCTCGAGGGATACGAGTTCCAGCCCGAGGCGTTTCCGACTTACCATACAACGAGAGAAGTTGCAGGAATGTTATATAAGCACCCACGATCAGGATCACCGCTATCAGGACGAGGGACGCCGCCGCTACGTAAGCAGGGGTCCCGCACTTTATGCTGTACTCGACAGGTTTCTCCGGGTTCCTCTCGACTTTTTTGTCCCCGACCGGTATCTGGACCTCGTCGCATGCTCCAACTTCTACGATGTCGGACGCCGGATCCACCAGTTTCGCTTCTGTCGAATGAACGGAATCATACTTCATTCTGCTTACAGCCGGAATCTCGAAACGATGGCTCGGCCTACGTCGAGGAACGGAGACGGATATACAGTGTTGACGGACGATCGCTCGCGCCGCGCCGCTTCCCTTCCCCGATTCACTGAAGTTTGACGCATACCGTAAAACTAAACTTCTGAATCGGACTTTGAGGCAAACGCGTTGTCAAGTTCCGTCAATGACGATAGGGAACTAGACTGTCATCGAATTTCTCTCTTCAGTGAAACCGGAATACCGTTCGCCTTGGGAAGCATCATCTCGGGAAGAGAAGCGACGTGTCTCTCATCTTATCCGTCTTACAGATCCGTTGCTCGCACCATTCGAGGGCCGATACGATGCGGATCTGTTTACTGCACGGGTCGTTCCGCGTCGCCGTTCCCGCAATCGCTTCAAATAATTATCAAACACCGCGCGGTTCCGAGCATTCGACCGTCAAAAATAGGAACGAGGAGAAGCGAACTACCCTGCCATCGACTGACGAGCTGTAGGCTCCGGCGAACTCCTCGCCGGCAGTGGGCATCGTTTCCCCATGACCATGACTACCTATCCTCTTTTCTCGCAGAAGTTTTTCAGAAATTAGGCGGAGTCCCGCGGAGAGATGCGAGGAGACGTAGGTAAATCTCTCCCTCGGATCGACGGGAAAATTGAGAAATATCGCGGATCGGGCGAGCGCACCGCGGAGCTGATGATGTTCCTGAAGCTGATCGTTTTGAGTTTATTCTGAAATGGTCTGTGAATCTCTCCGAGACGGTTAAACCTGTCGGGGGTGGACCCACGGCTCCTTTCCTCATTGATCCTTGAGGAGTCGCGTCTTCAGAGTACGCCCGAACGACGGCGCCCTGCTCCTCCCGAAAGGAGTTAAACCGTCTGTCAGTGGAGCGTGCTCCTTTGGTAAATAACAAGTGGGTACCACTCCTGACCCGACCCGACCAAAACATAGAGAGCTCAATCAATGCCACGCGTCCTGAAGGTATTCGCTTGATCTTGATATTCTCTGGAGCCGACTCCCCGCGTGTTTCGCGCTTCACATAGCTGCCGCGAGATTCTGCAGTCCAGATGACGGCACCTGAAGAAATGACTGCATCGAGGCATTCTCACACCGTATACCGTCCGGAAACGATATCCGGACCTCATTCTCGAGCGGCTGTAGGCGTATCTCTTTTCTCCCGCTAACTCATTTCGAGACATTCACGGGACACGATAAAATATTTATGCGCTCAGGCATAGTTTGTGTCGAGGATCACGCAGCATTGCAGCTTTGGTTGTTCCAGCGACAGAACCGTTCAAGTGCCGCCGTCCGGAATTTTCCGGTTTTCTGGGAAGACTGAGGGAGGCCGGCGTCCCTCAGTGGCACTCAAACGGTGAGCGCACGACGAACTCAGTTCAGTCCTGGGTTCAAATTATCGCTCTCGGAAGCAGGAGAACATTCCTCCGGGACGGAAAATTTATACTACTCCTACGTGGTCTGACGTCGACGAACTTCTAGGGGGCCTTCTACGGGTTCCTATAGATCTTTCGGACGCAGAACGGGTGGGTGGGATCGTTCTAGGCGACCATGGAGCTTCGACCAAGCTCCGGCGACTCTGCCATGTCAAAGGGAGTTGAGAGCCCTCCGTAAAGACGGCGAAAAGCTGAAGAATCGAGGCAAGGATTCTGACTCTTTGTCCGCGCTCTCGGAATGGGTTATTGATCTCCCTGATGATCCGCGAGGCTCTACAATCCTCATCGACCGCATTGTCCGCAATGCGTTCCACAATATCGAGCTTCATGAGCATTGTGGAAGTCCAGTCACCATGGATACGCATGTACGATTCAAATAGGGAGTGACTTGGCGAGCCAGTGATTTCCGACACGACTGGGATGTCTGACTCAATCAGCTCTCCTCTCGGTTTGCGCCACCCACGGGGACTTATGGGAAGCGAATCAGGTCAAGTCGACGTCCCGAAAAAGTTTGGGAGGCTCCTCGAAATCGTATTCTGTTCGCTCTGCTCGTTCCATGGCCTCGAAGCCGGTTATCCAAAGATCAGGTACTTCGGCCTGGGCTTCTGGCTCTTGGTCACTGCTACAGCTCCGCTGACGGCGACGATATTCTTCGTGCAGACAGCGATCATTCCAAGCGGCAGCCTTGGCCTCTCGAGCTTGGCGGCCTCGTTGGGTAGCCTTAATGTGGCCTTGATGACATTGGAATCCGTTTTCACTTTTATCTGGAAGCATCGAAGTGTTGAGCAGCTCGTACGAGAGGATCTGACAACATCGCGGGACTTGATCCTCCCGATACTCTGCAGCATTCCGTACAACGTGATTTGTGTGGGCATTTTATTCTCGAGCGTGGATTTGTACCTAGTTTTCGCGTATGTGAATTTTCTCTGCTTCAACGTTTCCTCGACCATCACCATTGCGATATATTTGAATGTGACGAACAGGATACTGAACGAGCTCGCGGCTTTGCACGATTCCCTCGGAGCTCATCATGCGTGTTCGAGCTGCTTCCTACGGGAAAAACTAAGGATCCGGCGACAAATTCAAATCATTAACTCGACCTTCAACAAATCTCTGACGCTGCGACACCTGCAGATGTTCGCCGGGGTTATCTTCGTCATCGGGACATTGATTGGGCAAAGCTCTTCTATCTATAATGGATTTTCTGCCGTCGGGAGTTTTTGCTGCTACGTAATGTCGTTGGCGCAAGCAGCACACAAGGGATCAAAGATCGTCTCCCAATGTCTCGAAACGGAATTTCACCTTTGGTCGCTCCGCTCAGTTGGAATGAATGAGCAGAAGAGCGTCGATCAATTGGAGTTGATGGAACTCTTTCATTTCCGTGAAGAATGGGATTCGCTGCAGTTCGCTTGTTCCACACTCAATCTCAGTAATCTTTCGAAGTTTCTCCTAAGTTTGATGACTTGCGTAGCTGTGGTCCTGCAGTTCGACTACAAAATTGTGCGGGCCGTTTCGGGCTTGGCCAATAGCTCTCCTTAGAAGTTTCAAGGAGAACTCCAGAATGCTGGGGTGTGACGGAATGTTGCGGAGACTTCACGGGGAGTTCGAGAGCTTCCGGGCAATCTTGGCAAGGCAAGATTTCGAGGCTTTTCCTCATCTGTGAGGATTGGACCGATGGCTCACAGCATCTCAATCCACCCTTCCGCCTTTCTTTGTGCACATCGGCAACCCTGGGATCCCTCTCGAGCCTCAAAGAGCCGCCCTTCCCGCGACCAGACGTTCGATTCGCTCGTATACAGCATGCACAGGAATCCTTCGTGGTCGCCACGTAGCCTCGCGTCAGAACGAGGTCCCCACGCGAAAACGCGATGATCTGGGTTGGTGCAGGAACCGCTCACCCATGAGGGAAGAAACTTTGAATCCTGCCTCCAGAGAGCTCTATCCTCGATCGCTGACAACACTCCGCCAGACAAATCCCGTCTCGTCTTCCACTGGGCTCGTCGAGAGTACACCATGCAGCTTGTGAGTCAAGAATCTCATCGATCGATGAATAGCTTGAACAGGCAATGAGAAGAATCTCGTGAGGAGCGCATCAAGGCTCCGTATGGTGTTTCTCTTCATTTATGGTGGAGGTAGATCTGGGGAGCGGCCTACCACCGGTACCGGTCAAAGCAGATTGCTTCTGCGAGGATATTCCCGCGGTGATCAGACTTCAGTCATCCGTGATGGATTCGGCTCCGGCAATCGGTCGTTCAAGCGTCGCGATCACCTTCGATAACGCTAACGGCATGGAAATCGACCTGCGGCCTGGGAAACTGTCATGCTGCGTCGATCCAAGTGTATCGTCTCCTGAGATTCGACTCCACGAGGGAGCTGCCGAGCGTCAGTGAGAAGCAGGCTCAGGGGGTCCGAGCGGAAATATTCGTATCGGGGAGCAGCGCGCTCTACGTGAATTATCGCTTGATGGACTATGCATGGCGGACGCGTTTGATGAACAACTCTATACGAATTTGGGCTGAAACGGCTGGCCCTCTGATCGGTTGAAGACGAAGACTGCTTTCCACGGGGAATAGTTTGTGGGAGCACTTGGATTCTCTCAGAGAGCTCGGAGATTGAATGCTACTTGACTGGTGTTATTATGATTAGATTATCAACTTTTTTCTTTAGGAATAAGATGATTGGATAGGTTCGCAATACTTTTATGGCGGGAAGTACGAAAGCCTTACTCCCTCCCGGAATTGACACTCTAGCGCTTGCCCGCTGAACTTCCATGAGCCGAAGGGGACCGTCAGCTTTCCTGCGGTGCTACATGGGTCCGGCACCTCCGTTCTTGCGGCGCGAGCTCGCAGATGATTTTTCTTCACCGAGCGGCCCAACTCGGATCGATTGGACTCGTGATCCTCGGCAGGAGATGAGAGGGCTCCGTCCGCCAAGCTTCGATAGTCGCCTCCGAAGTTGCAACTTGTTCTATCTGCTAAACCAGCTACTGCGCACTGCGGGAGGGGCTCAGAGACATATCTGGAGGCTCATCCTCGACTTTCGAAGCCGTATCATGAACTCCGGGTCTGCAGCAACCATACTCGAGACACTGCCTCCTCAGCGGTCGGATATAGCTATCACCCTATCTGCGAATCCCGGACAAGGGCCTCACTTTCGTATGCGCACGATCAGACTAGGCTGTTTTCGTCCCGGGAGAGCTCGTCGCTCATGGTACGAAACAGGTCGCAAAACTAGACAGCAGTCTCGCCGAGGATGGAACCTCGAGGCTCCTGGTCGACTTTACGGCTTCCTTCCCGGGACCAAATTTCCAGCCCGCACATGCTGCCGGCTTTCCTCCATCCGAGGTCGACCTCTTGCACAACCAAGGTGGCTTGGTCGATGATTGGCGCGCGATCGATTTTCGCTAGGAAATCCTATGACAGCGAAAGCGAGAAGCTCTAGCTGCTGTGTCCATGTCGTCCGAAGCTCCCAGACATGGAAACGTAGATTCATGATGAACCGAGAGTCAGGGGATGGCAGCGTTCCCAAACATCCGGTGCCGGGAACTCAGGATCGAGAGCATGAGTCTATGGGATCCCAGAACACCAGGAAGAACCAACTCCTTTGT